ACCCCATCACAAGCCAGCAAAACATCCGCGAAACAAAGAAAGGTCTGTCACAGCCAAAAAATACACTCCAGACACGCCGCTGGCACTAGAGGCACAGCATGGCCGCCTAGTAACGGCCCCGACCACTGCCACTCGACCTGACCGGAAAAAACCGTAGCAGGAAGCTAGCGAAGTCGTATAATATTGTCACAAACAGAACTGTCCGGTATATCGCCAAATAGAACTGCCCAGTAAACCGTCGGCAGAGAGAGAGAAGAGGACAACAAATGAGGGGGCTGTGACAAGCTGTTTCGTCGGAGTTTCACCGACTCATCGGGAGGCTGAAACTATAAAAAAAAGAAAGAAGAGTGTTCTAGGAAACAAAGAAGCAGAGTCTGCAGAGCCTTTCACGGGTTCCACTGTTGGGACATGAATGTCTCACCTGGAGAGTGATAATCAGAAGAACCGCGAGGACACAAAGTCCAGTCTTCAAATGGCCCTTCCTCTGTTCGTCGAGAGCTGTCAATTTCTTCTTAGCCGTTTGCAATAGAAAGAGAATGTACGAGCCAGGACTGCATCCCAGAGAGGAGATGTCCCATTTCGTGTCAGTGAAGGCTCTGCAGAAACTACTCGATCCAACGGTCTGACAGGCCTTAACCTGCTCCCTCGACAGAGGATCGGGCGGGTCACCCATGCTGGTCGGCCTCGCGCTTGAAGACCCTCCGCCTCGGTTCAATCTGGACACCGACTCGCTCTTGCTGTCACTTCGGTCTAGCTTCAGCATCCGCCTTATATCCTGCTCATATTCCTTGGGAATTCCCTGATCAGCTGTCAATCAGTAAGAGGATGCAGACAGAGAAAGCACCAGGGGTCGTATCAGCTCTTGGAGAAAAGGGGGGGGGGGGGAATTGCCTCTCAATCACCTTAGCTGTTGAGTTACCGCTCCACGTGGAGATCTGCGAATCGACCAACTTAGCAGTAATCGAAGTTATCCGTTTCTGTGTATGTGTGTGTGTGTGTGTGTGTGTGTGTGTGTGTGTGTGTGTGTGTGTGTGTGTGAGAGAGAGAGAGAGAGAGAGAGAGAGAGAGAGAGAGAGAGAGAGAGAGCATAATCCACATTGTCGTCAACATATGTCAGCGAAGGCAGGTTCATGCTTATGTGACATGATTATACAATCCATGGAGGCAGACACCCCATGGTCTGCTGTGTGGAATATCAGTATTTAGACCCATGAAGAGGACAACTTGTGCTAACATCTTGTGCACACATGGCACCTATAATTGGACAACACAACGCCTCCCCAGACAAGATCTGAAAGTCTCTCTCTACCATATGTTTATGCCCATCTCATGCAAGTATTGTCCAGTGTGGAACTGGCCCAAGGCAATGAGCGACAACTTCTGCTGACAAGAACTTGCCCGCACGGGGATATATGACTGACGAATGCTTCATCAAACAGGTTGAGATGGGTCAAGCCGCAGAGGAGATGACAACAACGATGATGGTGCAGCAAATCGGAGATGAAGACAACGACGGTCGTGGAGGACGTAGCTCACCACAGAACACACTGAACCACCCCAAAATAGGAAAATTTCAAAACAAGTTACAAAAACACAAGAGGCCACTACTGTCGGACCAGGTCCGTCGTACCTATCAAGCACAATTACAGCCCAGCGGGCCTCACCCCTCAACCTCTCATGCACAACACTAGAGTAACTTGACATAGCTTTTGTTCTTTTCCCTCTCAAAATTTGCCCCCCCCCCCTCCTCTCCACACAATTTAGAAGACTCACCAGCACGGGAGAGGACTCTTGCCGCCTCCTTGTCCAAAGCACGAATAGACCGCCGTCCAGAAGGCTCCTTGCTCCGGCTGCAGGCATCCCCCAACCCATCTACCTCCTCCTCATTGGGGTCTCCAAATCCAAGCCTGGGTGTGCCGGAAAGTGGCGTTGGTTGAACATCTGCAAGTGCAACTTTAGCCTGCAGGAGAGAGAGAGAGAGAGAGAGGGAGGGAGGGAGGGAGGGAGGGAGGGAG